TACGGCGTGGCCATCCCCCCCTGGGGGGTGATTTCCTGCTTTCTGTCACTCTGTCTCTCTCTGTCTGGCGAGCGCACGCGCCCTATAGCAAAAACCTCTCAAAAAAAAAAAAAAAAGATACTTAAGCACCTTGGCAGCTTTCTCGTGCCCCACTTGGGCAGCCAGCTTCTGTATGGTTGACAAGGCCCAAGGCTAGACAGGGCGGGCAGGGGGAGCAGTTAACTCCACCTGCTGTGAATACTCCTGCCACGCTGGCCTTAAGTTGTGTGAGCGGAGGAAGGTGGGCAAGGGGTTTATGGGAAATGGATTTGTGGGAAAGAAGCAGAAGGGAATTCCAGACTAAGGGGACAGGTCAGCGAAGGCTGAGATCAGGGGTTTCTTGGCCTGAGGCCTGAGGACTGGCCTGGGCTGCTGCAAGCCGGAGCTCTCATTCACAGGCTCCCCCACATCCAGTTAGCAATTCTAGGGTTTGAAGAGGAACCTGAGTCAAAAGGTCTCTGTGAGATAGACGTTTCCTGAGTCACGTGGATTTGGCCAAGACCCTTAAGGATTAAAGGCGAGATCACCACCCCCATGGGCCAGGCTAGTCGAGTGGGAGCACGGGGAAGCAGCCCTGCTCAGCTCCCTCCACTTGCTGCCACCTGGGAATGGGACCTCGTAAGGCCAGATCTCTGCATCTTGTAAGAAGCTGGAAATCCAGCTTGTCGTGAAATCGCCCAGCCTATGAATGGCGGCACCTGTAGCGAACAGACAGGAATGGGACTGAGCAGAGCGAAGTGACGCTGCGTGCCCCGGCTGGGCCGCCCACCAGCCCTGGCTCCTGGGTCATGCGGTCACCTGGCAGGGAAGGCTTAAGTCTCAGCAGTCCAGAGAGGAGGGTGGGACTCCCTGGAGGTCTCAAAGCCTGTGTGGGCAAAGCTTGGACTTGAACCTGGGGGTCCACGCCCAAGCCCAGCGCCCCCTCTATCAGTGGACTAAATAAAAGGCTGGTCTTTGGGTGGTATTTTTGTACTGGACAAAAGCCAGTGAGGTGTTCGTTAGTTAATCCTTCTAGAATAACTGGCAGAATAGGGTGAGAGGGCAACAGGAAGACCCTGGCTGTCCCTGAAAAGCCAGTGATGTATTTGGCTGCTGGTAGGTCCACCTGCCTCTGGAAGGCTTGCCAGGCTCCGCCTCTGGGGCCACGCTGTGAAGGTTCTTGGTGAGTTGGGCAGAGAGCTGCAGAGGTCAGAACAGATCCTGGGAGTGAGGTGGGTATTAGGAACTAACCTGCAGCTTGAGTCTGTTCAGTTCCCAGGCATCTGTTCCTTCCTTCATCCTCCCTTTCTTTTGAGTTTAAAATACTATTCATAGTAGGAATCTTGCCAAATTCAGACAAGTTCAAAAAATGAAAAGCTCACTATAGTAAAACTGCCTGGTTCCCTCACTTCTGCAGCTTCAGCCCTCCAGGACATTTGCTCTGCTCGGAGCAAGGGGTGGCAGCTCCCCATCTGTTCCCAGTGGCAGGAGCACATGGGCCATGCCTTCTCTAACTAGTCTGCATGTGTACGTCTCCACCATTTCCCCAACGCCGAGTTGTCCCCATCCCAGTGCAGTTGACAACAGCAGAGGGTCTCATCAGGATGCAGGGGAATTCCTTTGGCCTCTCCCTCGCTGTCGGCCGTGTCCACGTCCCCAGTCCCTGTTCTACACCGATGCTTTGACCGTCTTTGGAGTTCGGTCTGTGGATCCACCCACAGTGACTTCCACAGCGTGAGGTCCTGGATGTGGAAGTAGTCAGATGGCATGGAAGTCCAACCAGCCTTTGCTGCACATTGCACAGGCTGCTCTGTGTTGGGACACCTCCAGCAAGAGCCAAGAATGTCACCTGCTGGGGAAGCTCTCAGGGAGTCCTGGTTGCCTGTGCCCTGTCCCATGATCCCTGGCCTCCTGTGTGTGTGTGCGAGGACTTGGCATCGTGTGCACTGGATTCATGCTCAGAAGGCCTGTGCCGTCCCCCACAGCCGGTTCGCCCAGATCTGCCTTGCTGAGGCGAAGCGAGTAGCTGAGGACTCGGCTCTGGTGTAGGCGCTTTGCCCTGCTCTCCGGCACCTCCCTCGCCGAGCTTCGAGAAGGCAAAGCTACTCTCACTGTGGTTGCTGCCTAGAGAGAACCCCCTTGAAATTGCAGTGGGGTCTGGATGCCCAGCAAAATGCTGTGCCTTTCGGGGTCCCAGTGCCCCGGGGGGGGGGCAGAGAGGCAGAAAGTGGGGTTTTAATTGCAGCAGGCCAAGGAAAGCAGGTGCGTCAGTGGCTGGGTGGTGTCAGGGTTTCGTCCAGGTCAGCCCAGAGCCTGTGTGGACATTATTGCCAGTCCATAGCTCGACCCCACTCATTCCCCGAATGAAGAACTTCAGCGTCACGACTGCAGTTTCAGCATCTCCCCTCATGCCCTGCTCCGGGCACGTTTCGGTAATGAACCAGGCGCATGGAGTCATGCTGACAACCAGGGGCTCTAAAGAGAGCAAGAGGGCCCGCAGGTGGTGTGGTGGTTAAGGTGGCTGAATCCCACGTGTCTGACTGTGTGGTTGGAGTTGCAGACCCAGTGGCTCGAAAAACACACCAGGAATGTGTGCATGCCCCAAAGCCCAAGGAGGGAAATAGAGAGAAGGGATTGCAGCATGACCATCCTCCATGTGGGTGATTTCCCGTGCTCGCTCGCTCTCTCTCTCTCTCTCTCTCTCCCCAGTGAGCACATGCACCTTCTAACAAATTAAAAAACAACAAAAAAGTGCAGGAGAGAAGAGCTGTGTCTTCAGAGAAGGGGTGTCTAGCCTCGGGGGCCAGGCCCTGTCAGGAGCATACAGAGCCTAATCTGGACTCTGTTATGACTCTCCAGCCATCTGTTCCTGATTCTGATAAACAGGCAGCTTGGGAAAAGCCATCTTGACATTTTGGTTTATTAAGGGGTAATTCTTTCTCGAGGCAAGTAAACAGTTTGTAAACGTGGGGAGTTGCCACTTTAAGTGATTAAGAAGTAAGCAGCTGTAAACTGGCTCTGTGAGGCGAGCTGACTATGCACAGGGAATTCCTGAGCGAGTGTGGACCACTGCTGTCTGCCATAGTTCTGAGTACCCCTCACCCCGCTCCACGCACGCAGTCTGTGTCACCCCGGGGCTCTTCCTGAGAACTCCCAGGGTGTTAATCCCACTGTTCTGTCCATGCGCAGACCTTTGCAGCTGGGGAAGGTGGGGATATCCCTGCAGAAGAGGAGCTGCTGTCCGAGATTACCCACCGTAATCCATAATCCTGCTCCCAGCAGGCTTGTCCATGTGCCCTGGTTATGGACACCCGTTACTTCACCCCCAGAATGTGGCACAGGGGAGAAGTAGGGCCTTTGACTTTTAAAGAGCTGATCCATAACCAAAACTACTTTACCATACATCAACATGAACAGCCCAACCTCGATAGCCAGGTGTAGGGTCCCACTGGGTCCTACAGGGGAGACAAGAGCTCCCACAAGAGCAGATCCCATCACAGAGGGAGGGAAATCGGCTGAAGGAGGTGCCGAGAGCTGCCAGGGTCCCACAGCTGAGAAGTGAGCAGAGGGGCTTACAGGCCAGCTCCCCAGCCCTGCACCAGGGTCTGTCAAGGCCTAGGTAGTCAAATAAAACCTTGAGCTTTGCAGACCATGTGATCTCCACGGTGACGACTCAGCTGCGCCACGGGCGCGGGGCCAGCAGCAGCCATAACTGAACAACTGTGGCTGTGTCCCCATGAAACTACCTACCAAACAGGCAGCGGGCCACAGCTGGCCAGCTGCTGCCAGGCCCCTGAGCTCTGAGAAAGGCAAGGGCCTGGGGGGCCTTGAGGAGGAAACATCAGCCGGGAGCTGGACTAGGCAGGCAGGGCAGACGCATGCATGAGTTCTGGGCTGGCTGCGGCCCTGAGCTTACTCAGAGAGTGGCAGGCGTGGTGGGCACGGCCAGGAAGATCGGGCGCCCCTTTTCAGCTAGAAGGGACTTTTCCCCACCCCACCCTGATGTAATGCGGACCACCGTCACCATGGGTCCTTTCCAGCTCCCGGGGTCTGCACAGCACCTGGGACCGCAGACAAGGCGTTGTTCCAGGAGTGTTTTTGTGTGTTGGTGAATAAAATGAGAAGCTGCAGCCCTTTGGGAAAACATCCTGGACAACGGGTAGGCATCTTGGGCCACAGAACAGCCTGTCCACCGGCTCCCAGGCTGGGTTTCACCGTCAGCACGTCTGCAGTCCTTGAAACGTGCAGGCCCATGCTGGGAATGGGTATGCACTGGGTGTGCAGCGGCGGGCCATGCGGGTGGGTGAGGACGCCCTGGCTTGGAGCTGGGAAACAGACTCGGAATACCGTGGCCATTCGCCCGGTGCTTCTGGTGAGGAAGCAGGGTTTCACCCAGGTCTGTACCCTGTGCAGACCACAGAAACATGGCACTACCCCCTCCAGCCCAGGGACACCCTCCTATCCATAGCTCTTCACCAGCTGCTGCTGCTCCCGAGGTGGACCACGCAGGAACCGCCATGGCAGAGCAGATTCTCTGGCGGAGTGGGGCCCGGGGCAGTCTCCTTTCGCAGGGTGACTTCAGAGCTGAGTCTGCTGCTGGCATGGTACGGGCACTCAGCAGAGGCCCCGGGAATCTGCTTTGGGCATTCCCAGCATCCCTGTGAGAGCTGCGGCAGGAGCCTTGGCAGCTGGAGGCCAGGTGTCCCTCTGGGGCACAGTGGTATCACACCCGCCTGCTCTGCCGGGTGCACCTCTTCCTCAGAGCAGCTTCAGTGTGTCCAGGTCAGGCGTGGGAGTGGCGAGGGCAGCTCATTCTGGAGAACAGGCCGACTTGAGGAGTGGGTTTGGGGTCAGAGCAGCCTTGACACTGGAGCCTCAGTCCTGCCTTCTAGGTAGCCCACAGCACCTCGGCCACAGGGACAGGAGCCCCTCCCTAGGCCTGTTCACTGTCTCCCGCTCACCGGCTGCTCCCTGTCCTGCAGGCTTTGCCGTGGCCCAGTGCATAAACCAGCACAGCTCGCCGTCCCTGTCCTCACCGTCGCCGCCCTCTGCCAGCGGGAGTCCCAGCGGCAGGGGGAGCACCAGCCACTGCGACTCAGGAGGCGCCAGCTCATCCTCCACCCCGTCCGCCGCCCAGAGCCCTGCAGGTACTGGCCCTGTGACTTGGTAGGGAGGCATCTGAGAACCCCGCAATCCCACGCGGTTGACCATCAACACCTGTTTGGAGGATGCTGTTTTGGGGAGTCCTGCGTGCCCTCCATGGGACACTGCCCATAGGCAGCTGGTTGGTTCTCAGCTGGGGAGGAGCCACCCCTTTTCCAGGCTGGCCACTGCATGGCCTTCACGGGCTGCAGAGCTTAGAGGGTGGGCGGCACACGGGCCACATCCACAGCCACCGTCTTGTCCCCTCCACTTCTTAAGAATCTCAGGGCAGGGTCTTCCACGTGCAAACCTTTGAGGGGAGATTTATGTTCCTGCTCGTTTTTTCCTTCTGTAGCATACCGGTTTCTTCTTTAAACACTTGTCCGGCAGGGGTGCACCCTTTCAGTTTGGCTCACACGAGTTCGAGTTCCCATGTGGCCACCCCCCTGAGAGAGCGATTGGGAACCCCTGAGTAAGCCTAGCTAGGGTGTCAGAGTGGGCACCCAGCCCATTCTCAGCACCCTGCCGCGCTGGGTGCAACCCCAGGAAGGAAAGATGCCCGGCTTATTTCTTGAACACAGGCTCAAAACATAGAACCAGAAGCAGAAGGCCTGGGCGGGGCCCAGAGCTGACCATGCTTTGTGTCCGAGCTTCTGTATTGGTCTCCAGGGCTCTGGCGGCTCTGACCTTCCCTAACTGGGGACTATCAGTATCCACTGTCCCTGCAGGTCTCACCCAGAGCCCTTGCCCACCAGACGTCAGAGCAGCTACCTAACTCGGCTCTCCTTAAGTTGTGTAGTGATAGATGAAGACAGAAGAGAAGTGACGGCATGGCCGCCACAGTGCTGGGAAGGTTGAGGGCCCTCAGCCACTGTCCCCTCAGCCCTGGGGGCAGAGATCTCCCTGGGATCCTGCACCTCTTTCGGGCATTTTGGGGTTTTGCATTCCCGACAAAGGGCTAGTCTAGCCTGGCATCTTGCCTGCAGCTCGGGTACCCTAGCCTGCCTGTGCCTCCCCTGATGAGGCACCCATTACCTCCAGTTCCTGGTAGCATTCCTGAGGCCCACCAGGAGGGTCACTCTCAAGCCATCTCTCCAGGACCTGGCTCTTGCTGTCCTCCCTGTCCTAGCCTCGCCGGAGAGACAGAGAGACAGAGAGACAGAAAGCAGGAAATCACCTCCAGGGGGGATGACCACATAGCAATCCCTTCTCCTTCATCTTCCTCCCAGGATTTTGGGCATGTACGCAAACATACACGGTGTGAGTTTTAAGCCACTGGGTCCAGGACTCGAACCACAGTCAACTACGTGGGAGTCCAGTAACATAACCATTATGCCATTTGCTGGTCCCAGTGACCACCTGTTCTGAGATGTTTTTGAGCTCCTTTTAAGGTTTGCTGCATATCCAAGCAGTTGCCACTGCTGTTCTCAGGCATGTAGCTGGAAAATTCAGACAACGCTTCCTCTAGACGCCACGACTCAGTGTCCCTCGACACTGGGCTCACGTTTGTGCTCAGGGGCAGGCATGCAGGGGTGTGTGTGTGTGCTTGTGTGTACACCAGCCTTTGCCTGCACGTGTATGTTCTGTGTCTGTATGCACCCGAACACACTTATGCTTGCAGCTGCATTGGGGAGAACAATCTCTCCCCACCACGGCCCCACGTGGACACCCTTCTTTCATTTTGAAGGAGGCGAAGCCAACAGCTAAGTGAACCAATGAGCCATGCACTTCTTTGCCTAGAACTGAACCAGCAAACCCCACAGAACCAGCCCTCAGCCACTCAGCGTGATGCTGAGGGCTCCGATGCTGCACCTGCGCCCGGGCCTAGTGTGCGCAGTGCGCCAGTTTCTCCAGCTCTCCGTCATGGCCCCCCTGCCCACGTGGGGTCAGCGGCATGTCTTGACATCCGGGAAATGCAGGGGCTGTTAGCCTGGCTGTCAGGTGGCCAGGCAGCTCCAGACAGTAAGCGATGGTCGGGACACCCAAGTGTCCGCTCCCTCACAGTGCATCCCTGCAGGTCCCCATCTTTTACGTAGAATGACAGTAAAAGCCTCAGGCCCAGTCTGCCTGCCCGACTCCGCAGACACCAAGATAACTCACCTCCTCGCGATGGCCGGCGGACGCAGCTCCTGCGCTGCTTACTCAGAGATGGACGCTCTGGGTGCAGCTGTCAATCGCTGGAAGGGGAGCTCTCAGAGCCAGACTTCAGGCACCCTCCCCAGCCCAACACAAAGCCGAAGGGGTCCCCATGGTCCAGGAGTGGGAGGTGGGGCGAGGGGCCTGGCATCCTGCCGAGCCCTGCCAGAGGGCAAGCCAGGATGGGGGAAGGGAGGCAGCTTTCCTTGCGGTGGGCGCCCTCCTGCCTATCACCTGGCTTAACAGCAGCTCAGAGCAGTGGCTCAGCATTCAGGCTTCTGCCCAGGAAGGCTGCCCCTGCTCTGCCTGCTCGCCACTCCCCACCCCCCAGGGCGTGGCTGCCGTCTGCCAGAGGTGGCACCTGGGAGGGCCAGCAAGCAGAGGAATGGGCCGGCGCCTCTTCCCCACCCTTCCATCCTCCCTGCCACTGCCCTGGCTTGGACTGCAGAAGCCAGCTGCATCTACCAGGTGATGAGACAGGCCCAGTCTTCCATAGCTCTGCTCCACGGTTCGAAAACTCGAATCGCACGAGGGTATCGTTAGGAGGCAGGAACGACCCTCACGCTGCTTTAGCAGTCAGTGTGCTGGGGTACCCGTCACTCAGCGTGGGCTCCTGCCACAGCCGCCTTCTCGGCGCGCACCCCGCAAGCTGTCACAGTAAACACTGCTCCTGAAATTGGGCCCCCCGCAGGCTCCGCCCATAACCACCCTACAGGCAGCACCCCCATTGCAGCCTGCCTCGCTCCACCTCACACTGTTTGGTTGAGATCAGGGGGACCCAGAAAGGTCACACGGCTTGTCCAGGCTGCTGCAGCTAGCAAGCAGAGCCCGTGTTTGCACACTAGCCCTGGTGACTCCATAGGCCACACTGCACCTCAGACGCAGGCCAGCAGGGTTCCTGGTGCAGTTTTCCGTCTCTCCAGTACCTCCCAAGGGTGTCCTGAGACTTGGGCATTGGGTTTGCATCCTGGCTAGAGGCGGCCCAGGAAGCGTGTCTCTCCTCTGACATGCGTCGCTCTAGAGGCCCAGTGAAATGCCACAGCCCCATTGCCGAAGGCACGAGTGCCACGACGTATCCCAGCCAGCAGAAGGCTTGGCTCTGTGGACCCCTGTGGGGGACAGCCTGGTGGCCCCCCAGATTATTAAAGTGGACCCCAGATGGTGACATTTCTACCAGCCTGTGTGGGCTCATCCCCAAGTGAGGATAGTGGGGATACCCGGTTGGGTTGTCAGCCCTAACCCTCTGCCCCGCGCAGGGACCTTGGGCCCTGTTTGTCCCAAATGCAGATGTTCTTCCTCGGCCTTCAGTCTTGGCCCCAGGGCTCAGCGACTTGGACTGCTACTCTTGGTTCTGTGGACTGGAGACCTGAGTCAGAGTTTCCCCCACCAGCCTCCACACCCGGCCTTTCAGTTCTCTCTGCCCCTCTTCTCCCTAGATCTTATCTTCCTTGGATTTTGGTACCCCACCCCACTCACCCTGCATTGATTTTTCTCCTCATCAAACTGTTGGAGCTGGCCCTGCCGTGCACAGGGTGCGCCCTGCAATACAGAGCGGCCAGAATGATTTCTAGTGTGCAGCAGCACCAAGGCCTGTCCAACAGCCACGCAGAAGTGTGCTCAATCCCAAACTGAGGACAAAACAGGCAGCACAGGACAGCCAGGAGGGGCTTCTTGGGGCCCTCGCTGAGAGGAGAGCCGGAGAACGAGGGGCCAGCGGCCCTGAGCCACTGTCCTGCCAGAGACTGGCGGGCTCCTTCCCCTGAGCTCTCTGCGCGTGGCCTGTCTGTGGGAAGCCGTGCCCATGTCCATCAGGGACAAGGCCAATGGCCCCGTGGTGGTTTCAGCCCCAGGGGCAGATCTCTGGCAGATTCTGACCTGCAGGCTCAGCACAGGCAGGGATCACCTGAGGATCACCCTGAGGTGCTGTCTGTGCCAGCGCACCTGCCCTGGGTCTCCTCGCACAGCAGAGACAGGTGGCATTCTCTCCAGCGTCTCTTCTAACAAGGGCTGGCTGTCAAATCAGGGGCCCAGAGCCCGGAGAAAAGTCCAGAACCAAATTCACTGATGACCAGGCGAGCCGGCACAGTGGGAGCGAAGGCCTTCTTTTCTTCATCGTGAGTCATTTACAGTTAAAGCGGTGCCTGCCGAGGGGACTTTAGTGGCTTTTTATTTTAAGGTTTTTGCCACAAGGCTCCTGTGCTTGCTGGAGCAATACAGACACAGTGAGAGGGAAAGTGAGAAATAAGTCCTCCCCGGGGGGATGGCCATTCTGCAATCCCCCCTCCAATACGTGCGTATGCATCCAATGTTTTTTTTGTTTTTGTTTTTGTTTTTGAGAGATTTTCACTGTAGGGCGCGTGCACTCGCCAGACAGACAGAGAGAGACATAGAGACAGAAAGCGGGAAATCACCCCCCAGGGGGGATGGTCACACCGCAATTCCTTCTCCTCCATTCTCCTCTCAGGATCTTGGGCACGCACGCACACGCGCCCAGCGTGAGTTCTAAGCCACCGGGTCCGGGACACGAACCACGGTCGACTACGTGGGAATCCAGTGACATAGCCATTACGCTAACTGCTGGTTCCCCATCCAGTGTGATTTTTCAAGCATCCAGGTCCAGGACTCAAACCATGGTCTACTATGTGGGAGTCTAGCGCCTTAACCCCTACACCACCCGCCAGCCCCTTTTAACGCTGGGTTTACCACTCGATCCCTCCCACCTGTCAGAAGAGGAGCGCACCTGTGCAACCCCAGCAAGGTCCAGAAGCAGATGTCCTGTTGCCCACAGGGCCTGTGGCGGGCCCACAAGGCCAGCATCTGCCCTGCCCACAGGGCCTGCACCTGCATCCTGCCCTGCCCACAGGACCAC